AGCTACCGTATTGGTCTGGTCATTACACTTGTAGTTTGGGATAAATTTATCTTTTGTAGATAGAAATTCCAGGGCTAAAAAGTAAGTTGAACTTTCCTCAAGATAGTCGGTAGCAATGTGGAAACCGAGGCTAACATTGGGTAAAATCTCAGAATGTTCATTGATCTCCTTTACAGCAAATGCCAGAGCCAACGTGTGTTGGTAATTATGAGTGAGGAACCTTCAGTGAGAGTTACAAACTATGTCAATATATTTCTGCTTCAGAATCAGACAGTTGCTATCTTTGTTACATATATTCATACACACACAAAAAAAGTACTTATTGTTTACTGTAGACACCTGGAATTTGGTCTTTAGCAAACAATAGCCCTAAATCATATGGATTGGGAAGCACTGATGTGGTGGGGGGTGGGGGTGGGATATGTAACATTGAGCTGAGACACCATTTATAGCCTGGTCTTTCCTCTCTTTAAGGTTCTTCTAGAAAATTGTCAAATTCATGGTGAGATGTCTCTTCCAGGATTAATTTGGATGTTTGCAATAACATTCCAATTCAAAGGAATAGAAGGGGGAGGATTTATGTGATTTCAATCCTATGGACACAACATTCTGGAATTAACTTAACATTTAGGCTTTGTATTCTGTAAAAATTGTCATTCAGTTCCATTGTCCCACCACAGACTGCTTCATTCCCTGGTGAGATGAAAAGGAGGAAAATTCAGAAAATTCTCAGATAGATTTACTATTTTCAGGACAACTCACAGCCTAGATTAGTCATGTTTTTTTTCCTCTCATGAAGCAGAGGACCATGAACATTCCTGAGGAAAAATAACTCAAGTAGTGTTATGATTGAAAACAAGAATACTTGGCTCATTTTACACTGTAATACTAGGGGAGGCTAAATTTCTCTGAGCTGTAGAATTTAGACATGGCTAAAGGCCTTTGCATTCAATAATATAATAATAACTATTTTACATTTGAGTAGAAATGTGGAAGGAAGGAAGGAAGGAAGGAAGGAAGGAAGGAAGGAAGGAAGGAAGGAAG